GTGTTTTTGTGGTGCATTTACTCCTGCATAGTTTTTGTGAGAAGAAAAGTATTTGAGAACGCGCGCACAAAAAAAAAACCGAATCTTCGCAATCTGGGTTCTACATTTTCGCACTCTTTAGAATCTAAGCTGAATTTTACAACTACAATTGTAAAGTGCCAGAGCTTTCAATTAGTATTTTTGACTAACCACAGTTAGAAAATACTTTTTATCAATATATCTTTGAAATACTCTGGCTCTCATGAACAGACATTTCCTTAATTTTCCTCCAATGGTCACACGAAGGTTGCTCCGTGGATCCCGGTTTAGGATGGTATTTATTAAGCAATAATAATCATTGGTGTCTAGTAAAAAGTTTAATTTGGTTTTGTTTTGCTACAGCCTATTAGGGGGTATGGAGTGTCAAGAGTAGTGGATTCTTCTCACTCCAACTTTAAGAAGGGTGACCTGATTTGGGGTCTCACGGGCTGGGAGGAGTATAGCCTTATTAGAAATCCAAGCAGCTCTTTTAAAATTCCAGATGCAACTGTGCCTCTCTCCTACTATACTGGAATTCTTGGTAAAGCCTCTGAAATCCCTCAGCAATCGATTTTATGTTTTCCTTAGAGTCAGAACAAAAGCAACTAGATGATAATTCGTTTAGTCTTTTTATGTTATTTTATTTTGAAGAGTACTCTTCTCTTCCTTGCCTTTTTTAACTTCAACTAGATATCTTGAAATGAATTATGCATTGGTTTGCTGCATTATAAACGTGTTGTGATGATCAAAGAACAAATTGAGTGTTCATATTACCAAATGCATTATGTTTTCAGAAAGTCCAATTATAGTAAGAGTGTCTGAGTGTTACTTGATTTTTTTCCCCTAATTAAAGTGTAACAGGAAACATGTAAAAAATGCTGGAAACTTGAAGTATATGATTTTCTTTTTCTCTGTTGCATGGCTTTGACTGGCCATGGCAGCAGACAGGTGTTTGTGGACAAGTAAAGAAGGAAGTTCGAATATATTAGAAGAACAGATATACCAACACATTAAGTTTAAGACAAAAAGACTTTGATTGACTTGCCTTATACTTTATTAGCATTCGCTGTTGCACCTTTTCAAATCGGGTTTTCCACAACAGTGTGCTATACATTGGTGATTTTTAATCAGAAATGGCTTGCAATAGATTCTTAAATATTTTATTCCTTTTTCATCCTTTTAGCTTCTTGATTATGCATCAACTTATTCTGTAGGTATGCCGGGCATGACTGCTTATGCTGGTTTTTATGAGATCTGCTCCCCGAAAAAGGGAGAATATGTCTTCATTTCAGCAGCATCTGGAGCTGTTGGTCAACTGGTCGGGCAGTTTGCAAAGTTGTTGGGTTGTTACGTTGTTGGAAGTGCCGGGTCCAAAGACAAGGTTAGTATTGTCCGTCAAATAAGTGATTACTGTCCAGTTAGACCTTTTATAATCATGGTTGCTTTTGCGTAATCAACAGAAATTAGTCTTATCAATGTCTCTGTCTGTCATATATGTTACACACGGTCTTAATGCATATTACTGATTTTTGCATGGGGCTGTTGTTTCAACTGTCGGTCAACTTATGCTTTTTGTTGGTGAAGATTGAACTCTTGAAGAACAAGTTTGGGTTTGATGATGCTTTTAACTATAAAGAGGAGAAAGATCTGAATGCCACTTTAAAAAGGTAAGTTTTCACTAAGTTTTTTTTGTGCTTCCATAGATTGACAGTGTTAAGTTCCTCTGATTAATGCAAGATGAACGTAAATATAAAAACAGGCTCTCAGAACTATAGCTCTGGAACTTAGATTAGGAACAAACAGATCCATCCTTTTTCAAAACTATAATTATCCTCTTGAGAGACCAAATATTCCTTTGTATTTTATGCTTGTCCTCAAAATACCTCTCAATGGGAGTTAATAATTTCTAAAAAGTAGGGAGTTTTGAGTTTTTTTCATGTGAGTCAACCTGAGGGACATTTTTTCCATTTCACCAATAAATTAAGCTGCAATTAGTTTAAATTCACATGGCAAAAGTAAAATAATAACATAAAATCAAAAGCAAAGAAAATTAGAAAGGTTTGAAATTTTAGGAAAAATAGATAGCATTTCCACTTCATATCTTTTACCTTTGATGTAATTTTCGGATAAATAGATAATTCAACTGATGTTCATACATACATTCCTTAACCTCATTGCACTAATCATGCCGTGGTTTAGGTACTTTCCGGAAGGCATTGATATCTACTTTGAGAACGTTGGGGGAAAGATGCTTGATGCTGTGCTCCTCAACATGAGACTCCATGGACGAATAGCAGTGTGTGGTATGATATCTCAATACAACCTCGACCAACCAGAAGGCGTGCACAACTTGTTTACACTTGTGAGCAAACGAGTACGCATGCAAGGATTTGTTGTCGTTGACTACTACCATCTCTACCATAAGTACCTTGACATGATCCTTCCATTAATCAAGGAAGGAAAGATCACTTACGTGGAGGATATAGCCCAAGGCCTCGAGAGTGGGCCTCGTGCACTTGTTGGGCTTTTTTCGGGCCGTAATGTTGGGAAACAGGTTGTGGCCTTAGCGCGTGCCGATGACGTGTAGTGTTTGTGTTTGTTCTCATGTGTTGAAGAAGCTAGAGGGAACTGTCCTGTCTTGTTTGTTTTTTAAAAATAAAAAAAAATAATAATAATAATGGTATAAAAAGCACTGTTACATATACTAAGGTGTGTTTGTATATAAAATAAGTTAATTCATATTTAAAATTTAATTCAACTTTAGTTTAATGTCAATATTCTCATTATGTCAATATAATTAAATAATATCGATCAATTATTTTTACATAAAGCATCAATTATAATTCATCTATTCATGTAATTTTAATTAATTCCTACTCCACATCTCTTCTACTTTTACATCAAACTAACTTTAATTATTTTATTTTAAATATTATTTTGATTTAAACTTAAAATTTTATTAATAACTATCTATATTATATTTTAATTTAAATTCAAAATTCTACTAACAAAATAGGCGATGCAAATTTGATGTGGTCGTCCCTTAACAGTAAATAAACTCATAGATGTAGACCACCTTTGCAACTTGATAACACGTAGGGAAGGTTCACAGAAAAAAATACGGTCGTGGCCTCAGGATCCTTAGCCGAGCTAATGGGTGCAAAACCTGAAACATCAAGCTCTAGTTTGGGACGAGAACGGCTCTTGTTGGTCGAGCTGCTTTAGGGTGCTACATCAGGTTGCATAGTGAGTGCAACTCAAATGGTTCATCATTTGAAACGTAATTTTGAAACCATAAGTTATTATTAAATTATTTCCGTGCATCTATAGACCAATGTTTTGAGACCCGGACCAGCCCGACGGGTCGACCCGGGGCCGGGACTAGTCCGGGTAGATTTTTTGGACCGGGTTAGCAAGGGACCCGGTCAAACCTGGACGACCCAGCCTTGACCCAATCGACTTGGGTATTGACCTGGTCGGGTCAACTAGGTTTGACCCGGCCATAATTTTTTTTTTTTAATTTTTGTTTAGCCTTTTATTTTTAAAAATTAATTTATGTATATATATATATATATGTGAAAAATATTTATTATATATTACAATATTATTAAGACTTTAGGATACAAAATTTACATACAAGTAATTTATTTTTATTATTTTATGTATTTTTATAAGGTAAAAACAATATAAATATAATTTCAAATTTTATAAAATTAATTATCCGATTTAATAATTAATTCAATGACCCACCATTAAATCGGTGACTAGAAATTGATTTAATCATGTTAAGTAAACGTGGAACATATGCTGATGTGTAAAGTATTCGGGATAAAATTGTCTAATCCCATCATCTCTAGTAAACGAGGCCTAATAGACTAGGACCATTATCTATACAAGCCATATCGGCTTCATAGATAATGGATTGAATTTTGATAAAATACACATATCAATATTTTGAAAACTAGTATGAGGTGCACAAGTAAGAGACTTTTATTAATGTTTATAAATTAAAATTTTTATTAAATAATATTTATAAATTTTTAAATATGGAATCAATATGTAATACAATTTACCTATATTTATTTATTGAAAATGTTATATAAAGCTTAAATTGTACAAAATTATGTAAAAATGTCTATTTAAAATTAGTACACAACCCGTTCGGTGCACATAACTGATAATAAATTACATTATATTTGTATCAAAATAAGTGTCATTTCAAAAATTTTATTCAGAAATTTGATTTAACTATAATGTGATTCCATAAAATAGTTATTTTGGTAAAATTTTATCATATATTTAACAACCTATGTGAATAATAAGTATAAATATAAAATTTATATTGTTTTATTACTTAAAATAAATTTATTTTTGTATAAACTATTCAAATAAAAAAAATTAGGTAGTTGAATAATTTATTAAACTATAAATAATTGACTATTTCGTTTACGTCCAATTTCATATTGACCCGTAAGTTATTGAGTAATTTATTAAATTATAAATAATTGACTATTTCATTTATGTCCAAATTAATATTGACCAATAAGTTATGAATAATTATTTTTTTTTTTATTTTTAATTTTAAATAAAATCTTTAATTTTCTTTCAATGTATTATATATCAAATTTAAACCATATAACTAATAAAAATAATAACCGCAAGTTTTGTCAATATATTATATTCCAAATTTAATCATGCTACTAATAAAGGTAGTAACCACAATATTTGATCAAAATGATTTTATAAGTTAATTACATTAGTTTAAGAGAGATTTTTCAAATTTGGACTAAAATAATTACCCCATTTAGTAAATCAAAATTTTTAGGCGGGAAACCAAATGTTTTTTTTACTGATTTCAGTTACCATTTCAAATAAATATCATTGTCTCTTTATATATTAATAGATGCATGAGCAATAGCTACAAAAATGTTGAAAGAAAAAGGTCAAGGTTTAGAACCACAACAAAGAGAACCAACTCTTCGGACGTTGGTTCTTGCATTTGTATCCTATCCTGCCCAGTAAAGCAAACTCTGAAGAAGTTTCCTTTCATTGTAACTAAAACATAATCTATGATGAGATGAGAATCTCAATTACACACCCGTCATAATTTCCTTCTATATTCATTGCATCACAGTTGTGAAACACATAGATAACTGCGAGAGAAATAGGTATCGGAATTTACCCAAAGTTGGTATTTGAAAAGACATCAAAACCAATAATTTAAATCTCCATCGACTGTAAGCCCTTTGATGATTTCTGTTTCAATTTTTTCTTTCTCATTTTATCATCCTTCCTCTTAGGCTTCTTGTCCACAACAGGCTGTGTATTCTGCAAATGTTGATAAATGGCACCTAAGGGATCTGATTGAAAAATTGGATGATTTATAACAGTCTTCAGCTGGTTACCCTCTTTCAGTCTGAGAAGCAATAGAGTGTGCACAAGTAAAGAACACATGATAGAATAATTATTCCAAGTACTATATAATTTGGTACTCACACTAACTTATTTCTTGTTTTACTGTTGATTTTGAGTTCGGAAGGCTTCGACTCTGAGGGAGAATTTACTTCAGGTAGGTACTCAGAGAGGGATGATAGATCATAGGCCTTTAATCTCTTTTGACGGCTTCGCTTCTTTTGCTGCTTTTCCTGGTTGCAAAATATTACTTTGCTTTTAAGAAAACAAATGGCATAACCATACACAAACAAGATATGGGCAGCTATAAGAAACAGTTAGAAGCAACACAGTCTATCCCATTGTGTTCTTGAAAGTCAAAACCATTAGAAGCAAAGACTAAGCCCAAATCATTATAGCCAAGTATATGCAGTGATTTTCAACCATTCAAGCTTCAACACGAACATAAAAACAATTCACAATAATCCACATCATGATTTCAGGTAGCTGAAATAAATTAGAAACACGTGCAGATGCAAATTTAAGCTTAAAGGAAAACGTCGGGTATCATATAGCATGATCTTGGAGCAAGAAAAATACCTTAGAAATAGCTTTCTTCGCAACTGCACTCCTGACCACTGGAAAAACATAATAACAACCCACATCAATATATTCATTTTTTTTTTCTATAAACATTAAGCAAAGGTATATATTATTTAACTTTGATTAAATCCATGAAAACATAAAAAAGGAAAAAAAAAGAATAACGCATACGAAATTGATATCTGTAATAATTATTATCCAGAAGCGGGTACCCAAGTGACAATGTGATTAAAATTTCAACAGCAATACTGTTTTCGTTTTGAATAACTAACAGAAAATAAAAACTCTAGCAACAACAAAAGCGAATGCTTACAATCATAAAATTGCATTTTCTTTTCGAACTTGAGGTCCGCATGAGTCTTGCCATCCGATCTGAAAATTTCACGAGTTCAATCATGAGCATAGACGAATCAAAAACATTTCGATTAAAATTGATGTATTTGACACAAGATATTTTTCCCAATTAATTTTACCGAGAGCTGGTTTTCCCCATCAGCTGAATCTTCTTTCGTTACTGCCCTTGTGTTCTTGTACATAAATAGAAAAATAAGAAGTTAAGAACACTTCGTGAAATTACAAATTCATATATAACCAAGATAGGGACATAGGGTTTAGACAGGGAGAAAGAGAGAGCAGTCACACACACATGATATAGCTGAGTTTTACGGCTTTTAAGCTTCGATCCATAAATGGGCTTAAATTGGAATTCCTTTTTGACCCATTATACACTAAGGCGTCGTTTACTTCCCTGGACGGGATTGGATAACTAAATTTGTCACACCATATCATCCGTTTACTTTAAATGATAGGGATAGGACTCTTCCTAGTTGGCACGCATGTGGCATGCGCGTCCCAGTGTATCATTCATTCGCTGATAAAATAAATCCCGGGGGGCGGGGGGGTTTGGTGGAGGTCGGATTTTTTTATCCCGTTTTTATAAATCCCATTTTGTCTTCAAAATTGCATTTGAAAAGACATAAATACCCCTCAAGTTCCATTTATTTACAATCCATTACCATATAAAAATTGAAAATCCCTCACTTACAAACAAAAATTGGCAAAATCAAATCCGTCTCTGTACAGCATTTGCACACCATTTCAGGCAGTCTATAGATACCCATCCCGTCCACTATCATCAGCATATATACAATCCCAAAATCAATAAGCCACAGAATTCACAGAAACTATTTTTCCCATCGGCGAATAAAATAGATGAAAAAGGGGTAACCTGAAATCCCTTCAGCCTCGTCGTGCTCGTCAAATGAGGGTGGAGTGTTTTACGTTTCAGTCCCTTCGTTCTCCTCGTTGCCCTCGTCAAAGCGTCCGACCACCGGCGACAAATCTTCTTCGGCCTCGTTCGGTTATGAAGGATCAATTAGCTAGGGCATCAATTTGAGGGCTGCAACAGAGAAGATAATTGATATGTTTCGATTTTTTTATAAGGGATATTTTTGTCAATATGTATTTATCATATCAGTTTATCAAGGTAGTAAACACATGACAGGATTTCGGATAAATTTAATTAGGGCTGCACATTCGGTCAAGACCAAACCGAACCGACCGAAAATCAAAACCGAAAACCGAACCAAAAACTATGGTTCGGTTCGGTTTCAAACCGAAAATTTATCGGTTTTTTCGGTTCGGTCGGTTATCAGATGAAATGAAAAAATGACAAAAATATGATTTACAAATAACAATAGATACTAACTTAATAATTTTACCAAAATACACTAAAATGCATAAGAAAAAAAAAAACGTGCAGGAAGGTTAGAATTACTAACTCGGTTTTGCTCAAAACTTGAAAAATAAGGGATGTTGTTGTTAAGTGGAAATACCAAACACAATACTACTGCAAGAAGAAAATTCACATAGAATCTTCAACATATCAATAATTTAGAAACCCACTAACAACAACCGTTCAGCAGCAGCTTGCTCAAATCAATGAATCATAGGCATAAAAATTCACCCAAAATAAAACACGAGCTTGAATTGGGTGGGTACAGCCCGTAAGATGAATCACGAGTTAAAGAAAATAAAATTACGAATCTGCGTTGCAGCCCGTACGAGGAGATTTGGGTGGCGAACTCATTTGAGGAGACGAACGTCGCAGTCGAGAGCGGCCTGCCGAGTGTGTACGAGAGCAGGAGCGACCGAGCGAGGGCCGAGGCGATTTGGGATTTCAGCATTCAGAGCGCGGCGATTTGGGATTTACGACTTCAGAGCGCCGACGCCGAGCGATCGGAGATGGAGTGTATGAATGTGTGCGCCGTGCGGCAGACGGGCGGAGAATATGGTAGCCGTAGGTAGGGTTTTCGGCTTCTCAGGAAGATGAGTACTGTAATGAGCCTGTGTGACGATTCTGTGAGTAAATGTGACAGATTGGATAATTGAGATCGGCTCGGCAGTCGCATATGAGTGATAAATCATTTAATTGGGCCTTTTTTGTGGTGGGCGGCCCGTGGTACCTTTGGGCCTGGGTTAATATAAATAATATAAAATATCATTATATTGGACCTTTTTTAACTTATATATAATATCAGTTTTCGGTTCGATTCGGTTAACCGACAGATTATAATCAAGCCGAACCGATAACTGAAATATTGAAAAAACTAAAACCGAAAACCGAATCAATTTGTCAGTTTCGGTCGAAACCGAAAATTCAATTTCGGTCAGGTAATCATAATTTGTGCAGCCCTAAGAAATTCAACTCAGGTCAATCACATGTCCAGGTTTTATTTTTAGAACTATGCTATAGACCCTACGGTCGAGGAGTGTATTTAAATTTTAAAATATATCCAATCGCCGTCAGTTGAATACTTCTCCGTGCCATATCCACAATTCAAAAGCCCGCCATTTTCATTTGTACCATAAGGTACCTTTCTTATTCATGGCAGCACCAAATTCTGGTTGTTTGATGGGCGATGCAATTTATTATTTATTATTATAGGGACTCATAGCCATCTTGAGTTCCAATTTAGAAAAACGAGCCTCCGATTAGGGTTTCGAATTGAGATCAGAAACCAATGAATTCTGGTGATCTCAACAAAGTATGGGAAATCAAAGCGCTGAAGAGAAAACCCAGGAAAGAAGAGGCCCAGAAGATTCTGGAAAAAGTCGCGAAACAGGTTCAACCCATCATGCACAAGCACAATTGGAGGGTCAAAGTACTCTCCGAGATGTGGTACATACTTCTTTCAACCTCTGGTTTTTGTTTCGATTGTTTGTTTGATTTTTTGTGTCTTTAAGGATCCTGTTACTGTGATGGATATAGAGATGACAAAGTTTTCATTTTTCATTTGTTCGCTTTAAGGGCAATTCGAGCAATTGGATTGAGTTATATAGGTTATCTTGAATTTGTAATCCTGTGTGGGAGGGACCACTGATGGCTTTGAGTTTTGCAGTCCCAAGAATCCTAGCCTGCTCGGCTTGAATGTAGGACATGGTATACATGTAAAATTGAGGCTTAGGAGGGCAAAGAGTGATTTGGATTTTCTTCCTTTTCATGAAGTCCTGGATACAATGCTTCATGAGCTATGTCACAATGCTCATGGTTCTCACAATGCCAGTTTCTACAAGCTTTGGGATGAACTTCGAAAGGTATAATGGTGATATACAACTCATGTGTGTCGAATATCATTTCAAGAAAGTTTTGTTTATTTTTTATGATTATTCAAATGTGTTCAAATTAATGATTGGGATTTGCTTTATGTTTCTGCAATTGGTCTTGCTGTTAACTTCAGCAGTTTATAGGATGACTGAACTTCACCTGTTTCAGTTCTTGTTTTAGATTTTAGACATTCTACTATATATTTGAGTGAGTCCTTTCTCTTTTTGGTAAAGACTGTTTCTCTTTGCATTTACATCGTAAGTAAAATTTTGTGTTGTCCTCCATTATCTTATGCAAGAAAGCTAGGTTTGGAAACTGAGCCCACGTCAACTGTATATATCATTACAATCGAGTTCGTTTTGAAGATTAAAATATGTTCATATAATCATTTAAGATATCGAACTGTTTCACTACAATGATTTCTATGGTTGGTACTTTATGGCTTCTTTTGTTGATGTTTTACTGAAATGTTCTGAAAATCGCGTCAGGTGAGTACCTTGGCATTTTTTCATAACATTGTCTTATAATTCCATAACTTCAGTAAATAAGAATATTAATAAGTTGTCAACCTGCCTAGTTCAATCAGTCACCTTGCTTACTTTCATGTGTCCTATAAATGTGATATCCAATCTCCACAGGAATGCGAAGACCTCATAAACAAAGGCATAAGCGGGGAAGGGCGTGGATTTGATCTTCCCGGACGACGTTTAGGCGGAACCTCTCGCAATCCTCTCTCTTCCCTTCGCCAGTCTGTGCTGACTGCGGCCCAAAACCGGGCCCGTCTCGCGTCCTTGATGCCCCCAGGGCCCAAAAAAATCGGTGGTGATAAAACCATCATGAAGACATTTAATCCTGCCCAAGCTGCTGTAATGGCAGCTGGGAGAAGAATGCGGGATAACATCTGGTGTGGTTCGGAATTTGGTGATGTATTAGGAGAAGATGATTTGGACAAGGAATGCTGTTCCGAAATATCGGCCATGGAATTTGATGAACATATTAAAGTAAAATCTCGAAAGAGGAACCGGGACTCGGATGATGGTGTTAACTTTATAGATTTGACTGAAGGTGTTGATCAATTTGACTCCATGTCTAATAGCAAGAACCGTAAAAAGGGGTTGTCTGGGGAAGCTTTGGCCTCGTCATCTATGTCTGGCCATGATCGGGCTAATGACAAATGTGGTACTTGGCAGTGCTTGGTTTGCACTTTGTTCAACGCCGTGAGTCCTTTATTCATTTTCTGTTCCTTTTTCTCTTTTCAGTTTATGGTGGTTTGTTCTTTAAACAATAATTTTCTTTTTGTCAATATGACGAGGTCAGGGATTGAGTTTGTTCTGCTACTGTTACTCTAAATGATGTC